TTACATTGTATATACCAATTATACTAATTACATTAAATATACTACATTCACTACATCTATTAATTATACTAATTATATTACATCTACTAATTATACTAATTATGCTATATCTACTAATTATACTTATATATGTGCTATATCTAATAATTACTATATATTATTATTTTATTTTAATATCTAATTTAAATGAAATATCAATGATCTGAGTATTAGATGGATTCAAATTTCTAATATCTCTATATTATATACATTTCAAGCTCAAACAAAACTTTGGCCTTGTTTATTCAAAGCTAAACTTAATGCCATTCTATTTGCTCTTATTACTGCTTTTAAAAATAGTATCATAAACATATATACAAACTCTCAATCTAAATTTCTAAATATCAAAGCATTTTAAACTCTTCTATAACCCTATATTATTCATATACATCATATTTTTCATTATGGAACTTACTAATTAACTTTGTTAATTCATATAAAATTCAAATTATTTTTTACAAAGTTACTACATATTAAGATAACACATATAACAACTTTGCTGACCAACTGGTATAAAACTATTACAACTTATTATATCTAACTTTTATGCCTTACAATATCTATAACTTATCTTATACTCTAAATATTAAAAACTTTCCTTTAAAACTACCTACTTGCTGCAGTATTCATACAATTTGTCATGCACATATTTACATACTATGGACTACACATAACCAATTTCAAAAATGAAATAAAATCTTTAATCAAATTAATTAGCAAGTCACTTGGTTATACATTAACAATAACCAAAAAATCTCAAACTTCTCACATAGTTTTTAATTTTTTGCTTTTAAATCTTTTAGAATTAAAATTTTACTCAATGACTTTTCTACTCCATATATTCTTCACAACAATATTACTTATACCTACTAACTTGTTATCAATGCCATAAAACTAGTTCTCATTTTCATTGGATAACATATTCATCTGATCAGTTGCTATACAACCTTATTGACAGTTCTCTACAACATACTCTAAATACAAATATACTTAATACTACTTCAGAAACAATAATCAAACTATATTGCCAAATTAGACAACTGTATTGTATAACTACACATAACACAGTAGACCTATCATTAGTCTTTTTAACCTTATCTGGCTTGGTGTCATATGAAATTATTTCTACTATCTCAAATTTATTATCCAAAAAATTAACTATAATATTTGTTATTAAATTTTTACTTTATTTTAATTAACAAATATATTATAAAATTTGGATCCTTTACTGTATTTCAAGATCAACATCTCATTCTTCTATTTTTAATTTATTTTTAAATTTTATTTTATATTCATCTTAATCTTTTTTTTCTAATTCAATTCATTCTAAAATTAACTTCTGATATATACAATAGATCAAATACCAAACTAATCTCTTATATATAATTACTAATAACCAAATCTAGATGAGCCTTAGCTACTCCTGTTGGTTTAGATTACAGAAAACTAATCTGAGCTTCTACTTTTTTTATAACATTATTAATAATAAAATTTATACTTTATATAAAAATTTCAAATAAATATTTAATAAAAATAGAAACATAGCCTCACTATTAATATTAAAAAAAAAGAAATATCAATGATCTTATTTTAAGTTATGATAGTAACTATATATATAAATATAGAATATCATTTAACTTATAAGTCTACCATCATTTGGCCATCCAAATGGTACCTAAATGCAACCTGCTACACTAATTCAATTAGAACTAAAAATTATGACTTATCTGACTTTTGTTCTACAATAGAATATCACCAAACTAGAGATATCATTTTATAGACAAAAGAAAAACAAAAAATAAAAAAAATAATTTTAAAGTTGAAAAAAAGAGGAATGAAAATAGGAAATAAAATAAAACTAAATAAAAAGAAAATAAAACTAATCTATAAAAAGAATAAAGAAAGAAACCTGCTAACAGGATAAAACTCTATTTTACGATTTTTACTTGTTACAATGTTTTTATATTTTTATGGACTATGGTTATTTTCTAGAAACTAGATACTTTTGACCAGAATGAAAACTGTATTCATTTGTAGAATGAAGTTCAAGCTAAATACTTTCTATATATAAAAAATCTTCAAATAGGTGGGATACTGTGCCAAGATTTGGAGTGCACTTAAGCAGTCCAATTCTTCATTAATCTCTATAATTATTTTTTTAAAAAATATTATACACATAACCTCAGAATATATATATATCTTAATATATTTTTGGTCTTTTTGAATTAAATTCTTTTCTGATCTGCTCTACATGATTGACTAACTCATATGTTTGTTATGTTTCTTATTTGTTATATTCAAACAAGCATGTAACCACAAAAGAAAGTGATGCACAATGTCAATCTTTTGATAAGGGTAAGCCAAATTTATATTTTTTTTTAAAAAAAAAACAAAAAAAAGATGAAAAAGAGGTATATCATCATTGTAAGGATCTAAGTTAAGAAGAGTTTTTCTAGTTATTGTTCTTTTTTTTCTGCTTCTAATATTCTTAACAAGAGAACTGATTTTGTCTCTATTTGCTTTTAGAATATCCTTCCAGTTTGGATGCTAAATATACAAAGAAGTTTACCAGACAAAAAGCTTAACACAAGACAAGAACTATTCAATTTTTGCCTACTTCTCAGTATATTATATATTTGAGCTTTGTTAACAGTAAGTTTACTTAATGTAAAACTAAGAATATTATCCACTTTGGAGCCAGAATCTTCAATCTATTTTTGATGCCAACTTGATTTAGATAATTGTTAGAAAGAGTTAATATTATTTTTTGTCTAACACTCTCTTTTAAAAAGATTGTATATTATATATTATATAATAATTTGAATTGTTAAGTAACAGAATTACAATCTTCAAACCCAACAGTATATATTAAAAAGAAAAATATATATTACAAAATTTTATTAATATAATTACTTATATATCTATATAAAAAATAATTCTAAACTTATTTTAAATTGATTTATATTAAAAAAGTTTTTTAAAACAATTGTTATATTTAATTCTTTTTTTATCACTGTTTAAAGTTTTTAATCATATTAGATTTCAAATTAATTTATTTTTAAATTCAAATTTATAAATTTTTAATTTAAAAAATTCATAGTTTTTATAATTAAAATTCTAGTTACATTCAAATTAATTCTTTTAATTAATGCTAAATAATCAAAAAAAGTTTTTTAAATTACAATTGTTTTAAATTAATTAATATTTGTTTCTATATAATATATATTTAACAATTAATCTTTTTAAAAAATCTTTTTATTTAAATATGTAAGTTTAAATAAATAATTAAATTTTTAAATTTTTATTTAATGTTAAGATAAGGTTTTACTTATATATTTATTTGTAATTTTTAAGTTAGTAATTATATAAAGTTACTAAGTACAAAAAGTAGTTTTATATACTATAGTTAGAACTAATACTTGCAGTCAGAATTTATTATTAAACTGTTAAAAATAAAACTATTACTTTAAGTACTAAAAAAACTTACATTTAAAAATAAAGCTTAAACATCTTTATTTGTAATTTAAGCTAATTAGAATAAAAATAAGTCAAAATTCATTTAGGTTAATTAAATTTTACTAAATAATGTTTATTACTTTAGTATGCACAAATAAGCTACTTATAAATTTTACTAATTATTTACTTTATTAAAAAATTAATTACATTACTATAAAAAAATAAAATAAAAGTAAAATAATTAAATAAAAAATAATGTATAGTAAAAAATATTATAAATTAAATAAGTAAATAAAAAAGAAAAGTTAGCAAAAAAAATAAAAATATAACTAGAATAAAGATTATCATAAAGTTTATTAATAATTTTAGTTATATTAAACATTAAATAAAATTAATTTCTAATATTATAAGTATAGAAATATTAAGTTTTTTGATAATATTTTAGTTTATTTAATTAAAATACAATTTTTTAAAGTTTTGTTTAGTTATGTACTAGTTGGTTTGAATATTTAAATAATATTATAGTAGATAATAATTCTGATTAAAATTTATAAATTACTTGTTTAAAAAAAATTTTATTTAATGTTTTTTAAAATTAAGGTTAATAATTTTATTATTTGTTGCTATAGATTTAAAGTAAGTTTTAAAATAATAGTAAAAAAAATAAGGTATATATTTTAAATTAGTAAATATATTGTTTAATTTAATAAAATTTTGTTTGAATCAATTAGTTAGATTATAAAGATCTTTAAAAAGTAACAATATATAAAATGTTGCTATGTAGATACAATAACAATTGCTGAATTATCATAGTATAACAATAATAAATAAAATGCTCCCAATTCAATAACTTGATTCAATAATCTAAATACCAATATAAAAATAAGCAATAAATTTGATTAGTTATAGAAACTTTAAGTAGTTAGGACGGAACTATATTGACTCAGTTTGGAACTCAAGCCATTATCATTTGAGCCAAAACCAGTTGAACTAGCAAGTTAATCACGTCTGTTAATGCATCATAAAATGTCGCTGCTAAATATGAACTAGTTTGTAACCGTTATATAATCTTTAGAGCTAATAAAAAATATTGTTACAAATTATATCATGCGTAAAAGAATCTTTAATTTTAACAAATCAAAATCAGCGTCAATTAATCAAAATAGTTTAATAGTTTCAATTAACTAGTTTCAATAAAATGGTTATATAAATTTTATGAACAGTTTATATAACTAGTTAAAACTAGTTTATATAGTTAACTGCCAGTTTGCAACTAACATAAATGATTTTTAGCAAGTTAACATCCCTAGTTAGTTATAAGCAAATCAAATATTACTTGCCATTGGGAACTTCAACACATTCAATAGGGTGACTTGCTAAAATATATACATATAAATATACTAAAACTACAGTTTGAAGTCAATTTGAGAAAATAAATATCATTACCTGAATTAACTACATTACATTTTTACAATTAATCACATGGCCAATTTTTTAAAAAAATATTAATAAATGTTATTACCTGGTTTAGGGAGTTTTAGAAACTTCAAAAGTCGACTTGTATAAATAGCTTGTGGATCAGTCTGATAGTTGAGTCGTGCCGATTTAATTTGATCATATATTGAGAAGCTTTTGTATGAGTCTTTAACTTCTTTAATTTGTTTATATAATTCAGTTTCTTCATTTTTCAAATTATCATAAAATTGATACAGTGCATTAGCTAATTCTTCAGCAGTTGGTCGGTTTTGAGGTTCTGCGTCTAAGCATTTATTCATCAGATCCAAAAGTAATTGAGGAATTTCGCATTTAATTTTAGGTCTGTAGCCTAGACAAATACGTATTGCTAGATCTTCGTTGTGTGGAACATCATTATATGGAGGATATCCAGTAAAAACTTCCGACATAATTATTCCGAAAGAATAAATATCCGATTTTTTAGTGTATTCCTTTCCATTTGTATATAATACCTCTGGAGCAATATAGGGAAGCACACCATAAAGTGCTGTAGAATTTGAATCTTGTGACACTGGCTTACATAAACCAAAATCAGTAATATAAGAACTAAACATATTTTGATTAACTATATTTCCAGAATGCAAATCTTTATGCACTAATTTGGCTTCGTGAATTGCAGCAAGTCCACCAGCTATGTAAAATAAGTTAGCTACTTTAGAAACCCAATCTAATTCACCATATTTACTATCTAACAATTTTCTGAGACTTCCCTGCTTTGCGTATTCCATAACCATCATGTAGTTACCATCTTTTGGGTTCTTGGTTATTCCATAAATTGCAATTGCAGAATTACCCCCATGTTTATGTTGATTGTAAACCTAAAATATTAATTAGAATAAATAAGATTACTACACTCTAACAATTATAAATTATAATGCTTACTTCTTCTAAAAATTCTCGTTTTATATCTTTAGAATTATCAAGGCCCTTTAAACAAACATCTGTTTGTGCTTTTCGTTTCCATACACCCTTTTGATAGTCAAACCTTATAATATATCCGTCAATCCATATTGCCTTAAAAACGGTGCCAAAGCCTCCCTTAGCAAGATACTTTATATTTGTGAATTTGCTAAAGGGTATCCATTCAATAATGTCTTTAAACATCTTAGCATTAAGTTGTGTTTGTTGAATTAATTGATCAATGTCATGATTGTCACTTGTCCAATTACGAAATTCTTTTTTAAACCTTAAAATAATATTAAAAAATAATAAATATAATAATAATTAAGGGCTACGACTATCGATATTTTGGATTTCCTGTAAAAAATTCTGTTATTGTCCACGGAGTGAGAATAAATTTGGTTATTGTCCACTTCGTGAACAATTACCAGGAATCAAACTCAGATCAGATGATCGGGTTTGATTCATGGTTATGCTCGATAATAAATGGTATTTATTGTACTTACTTGCTATAGTGAAAAAATGATTTAGATATGGTTACATTAGTAATGAATGTGATTTCTATAGTTATTTACTGTAAAAAAATTCTGTTTTACTGTACTTACGAGCTATAGTGTTAAAAGTGATTTAGACATTGTTATGTTAGTTTTGTATAAGAATGAACGTGATTTCTATGATGATTTACTGTAAAAAAGTTTTACCGACTATTGTGATGATACAGGTGATTTAGATATGGATATGTTAGCTTTGTATTGGAATGAACGTAAATTCTATAGTAAAAAATTCTGTTTTACTGTACTTACGAGCTATAGTGATGCAAGTAATTTAGATATCGTTATGTTAGTTTTGTATTGGAATGAACGTGATTTCTATGGTGCTAGAAGTCTATACTCAACAGTTACACGAAGTGTTTCAATTTTTTAAATGGTTATAACTTTTTATCTAAGAGGTTTTAAAAAAATCTGACCAGTAATTTTATAGAGCTATATCAGCTCTACATATATGTCAAATATCTTTTCAAAATCTCATCAC